TGGGTTTGTTTCTCCCTAAAAGATAAAACACAACATGATTTTTCTTGTTCAAAAACCGAATCTGAATGAACTAGCCTCGTAGCATTAGCTTTTCGGGACTGAGCTTATTCACAGCAGATAACAAGGTTAAATACACACATCTGTGGCAGATCTAATTTATGTCTGTGTTTTATCATAACAGTCGTGTTCATAACTCAACAGTAAAGTATAGCAGTACTTACTATAGACATAACTTCACAGTAAAGTATAGCAGTGCTTACCATAATGTTAGCTCCAGCAGCTCCGAGCTGTTGTTTACATGTTAATGCCAAACGGAGTTCTGCGCATGCGCGGCCGTGACTTGGCAAAAAGAAGGCAGCGAAGCATACATCAGATGCATCCTTCATATCTGCTCCAAAAGTGGCCGTTTCCATAGAGACGAAGTCATGATGCCTACGCTTGGCGAGCTCGCCAAGTGGTTTTGGACACCCCTGCAATAGCCGTCGCTTGAGGAAGTGACGTCACGATGCCTACATATCCACCCTACGCGGCCTGATGCCTAGCGTTTTGGACACAGCCTATTATGTCGCCTGGAACTACATGTTAATGGTTACTTCCGGGTTTCTCGCGATCCCTTTTTCACATTAAAATAGTAATTTGGTCATGAAAACGATAACAAGAAATTCTGAAAAAGTCTGTGCATGTGTGTTAAGGATGTATATGTATACTGTTGTAGTGTCTGCTATTATAACTTCTACATATAAAGCATGTATCTTCAAAATGTGTTGGGAACATCTGGGCCAAAATGGTAGAAGCAGCTGACCAGTCATGAGGTAGACATGTGAGCAGCACTGCTGTTAGGACAATGTACATGGCTGTCCTTAATGCATGGTTTGCTTTTACTGAATCTTGTGACTGTGTCTTATGACTTCTTCAACAATCTATAAGATACGAGTCAGCAGTTTGTGCGGGGTCAGTCATGCCATCATCATTCTCGGGAGCTGACCCAGGCTGAAGCGCTAAGCCTGAATTGGATTTGATGTATTCTGATTATGCCATTAAACTCTTTCTTTAATACATAACTCAGAGTGCATTCCTTCTCCAACAACTATACTGGTTTGTGCGGGAAACCCCATCTTCTGCTGATGAGAAGATACAACACTGTATTGTCCAATTAACATTTAATGGTGTTGATTGATAGATATGTAGTTGTTCATGGAGCGTGGCTAGCTCTACTAGCTCTACTAGCTTCTCTCGTTGTACTTGCAGAGTAATGGCAGTATTTTACACACCTGAATTACAAACTGAGATTGCATTGTCAAAGGGCAGCATTCATTATTGGTTTGAGAGTTCTGTTATCAAGAAAAAATGATCGGTAGAATTACACAAGTCAATGGAGTGTTCTACTGTTGCTGTGAGGAGCTGTATAATAAATTATAATTAAATACTCAAATATATTCGAATGTTCTAATGAATACATTTGGATGCAAAACTAGCAGTATTCTTTCACTTATATATTGTGTTAGCAGTGCGTTGCTTTTGTACCATTTCATCAGTGATTGTTGTACAGCTTACAAGAAGTTGCGCTAATGCTAATGTTAGCATATGTATCAGATCGCAAATTGAGCTAGATGGCTCTGTGTTATGAGAGCGTAGGGGAAATAAGAAGCCATTGAGCGAGTTGGGGGCGGGGCTAAACATTCAAACCTGCAGAAACGGGTATAGCGCCTTTAAAAAAGACAAGAGACAGCTGTATCAAGGCGTGAGTGCATAGCACACTTCTCAGCAAGAAGGTCCTGGGTTCGAATCCCAGTCGGATGGCCTTTCTGAATGCAGATTGCATGTTCTTCCAGTGTCTGCGTAGGTTTCCTCCGAGTGCTCCGGTTTCCCCTACCACTAAAAACATGTACAGTAGGTCTGGCACGCTCCTCCCATCTCTGTGTGGAGTGAGAGGACAAGTGCCCACAATTGTAACACGCTTTGACTCTGGTCTGTGAAAGGCAGTATATAAAGAGAGATTACTTATCTACTAAAAAAAAAAAAAAGACAATACATAGTTTATCAAATTGACACCTGCGTTACATACAGTCTGACAGCAGCAGGAAGTACATGAAACACACGTCATCACAGGTCGTCAGTCTCTGGATACAGTAATCTCCAAGTATTTCTACGTATTCTTACCCCAGTGGTGCACTCTGGGGTAGTCTTGCACAGTTTTTCCCAGAGGTGGGACAAAGTCATTGTTTAGCAAGTCACAAGTCAGTCTCAATTCATTGCCCTCAAGTCCCGAGTCAAGTCACGAGTCAAGACAGGCAAGTCCCGAGTCGAGTCCAAGTCAAAGGCCAACAAATCTCAAGTCAGTCCCAAGTCCTACGGTTTGACTTTCGAGTCCTCTCGAGTCTTTTTGACCGCGATTTGTTTCTTGTTGGTCTCCACGTACTTTTGTAGGCAAACAAAATAATGTTAGGAATCATTTTGCTGGTGCATTCTCGTTGGTCTCTGACCCATGGACTAACAGTTTGTTCCATGTCGTTTGCTGCTGGTAAATCAAAACTATCTACGTGATCTAATTGGATGTTGTGCCAGATGCAGGCTCAGTTACACATGCACAGACCACACATAAAATCAGAGCAGTCCGTGTCAACATACTTTTTATCTTTGGGGTTTTTAATGGGAAGTAGCAAGTGCAGCATATATGAATATGAGTATTGGGCTAGGACCTGTATCTATATAATCAGTTTAATGTCCGTAGTGGTTATTGTTCCAAATGTCCTACTGTAGAATAGGGGTAGTATGAGGGGTCTAGGCTTTGGACCTGGGGCAGCTCGCCATCAACTGGACCAGCATTAGCAATATCTCATAATTACCAATATATCATTACATAATAAAATGTCTCATATAAATTAATTCAATCAGTCAAAGCACTGATTCTCATATCAATGCACCATAAACAATAGTGCAAATATTAATCTAGCTTAGTGCACATAATCAAAACAACTATCTAATGTATGCAAACTTTAGCAGGAGGAGCACAGCAAAAACATACTCATAATAATAGGCCTCGGCGCCCACACAGAAAAATATAAGAAAGAGCTAACAGAGCAGCGCAGGCTAGCGCTAGTTTGACTCACCAGTTTCTCTTTAAAACACGGCACACAGTGTGACAACTGCGTCGATTCAATTGTATGAGGCGCCTGTAGTGAAAGCATATCAATTACGGTTTGTAGAACAAAATATGACGTTAGGTCGCGATAAATACCTGCAGCTCGCTCATTTCCAGCTCCCCTAGACAACACACCCACCGGTGAATGCAGTGCGCTTGTTTAGGGAAGTGTTGCTGCGCGAACTGCCTGGAACTCACGTTCGAACTCTCGCGCGAGCGCTACAACTACCGCGAGGCTTTGTTTCTTCAGAGACGGCATAGATAGAAAGAGAGATGCGGAGAAAGGTAAAAATGGCCCAGGTTACGCAAGTCTTTGCAAGTCAATTGGCGCAAGTCCAAGTGAAAGTCAGAGTCATTGATGTTAAAGTCCAAGTCGAGTTACAAGTCTTTTTATATTTGGTCAAGTCGAGTCTAAAGTCATCAAAATCATGACTCGAGTCTGACTCGAGTCCAAGTCACATGACTCGAGTCCACACCTCTGGTTTTTCCTATGTGGTTTTACTGCAAATGGCAAATAAATTAATCTGAATCTGAGTATTCTAAATGTTTCCAGCTGGACTGACAGTGACCGAGGGGGATTTGGCAGTGAGTGTGTTTACAGATACAGTTACAGATGAGTCTTCTCTCTGCTGGGAATACACGCACGCACACACGCACGCACACACGCACGCACACACGCACGCACACACGCACGCACACACACACACACACACCACTGACCACTCCCTCTGAGCCAATATAAACAGTACAGTAGACTCCGACCCAAAGACGCAGAAGCACTGAAGAGGCTCTCTCAGGTAGGACTCGAGTCTTGGTCTTGGTCTTGGTCTTGGTCTTGGTCTTGGTCTTGGTCTCTGCTCCTTCTGGACCAAAGTCTCAGTGTGTGTCTAACCCTAACCCTTCCTGTGTGATTCTCTGATCTGTTGTTGGCGATTCGACAGCTTTGTAAAGTCCTCTGAGAAAGCTACTGCTGCTGCTGAATGCTAGTATGCTAATGCTAAGGCTCCCATACGTTCAAATGACAGAGAGTATTTATAGACTAAAGAGACTGTTTGCTTATGTCTCTCTGGTCCCTCCCTGGTCTTTCTCTGGTCTTTCTCTGGTCTCTTCCTGGTCTCTCACTTGTCTCTCCCTGGTCTCTCTCTGGTCTTTCTCTGGTCCCTCCCTGGTCTCTCTCTGGTCTTTCTCTCTGGTCTCTCTCTCTGGTCTCTCTCTCTGGTCTCTCTCTCTGGTCTCTCTCTCTGGTCTCTCTCTCTGGTCTCTCACTGGTCTCTCCCTGGTCTTTCTCTGGTCTTTCTCTGGTCTCTTCCTGGTCTCTCACTTGTCTCTCACTTGTCTCTCCCTGGTCTTTCTCTGGTCTTTCTCTGGTCTCTTCCTGGTCTCTCACTTGTCTCTCCCTGGTCTCTCTCTGGTCTTTCTCTGGTCCCTCCCTGGTCTCTCTCTGGTCTTTCTCTCTGGTCTTTCTCTCTGGTCTCTCTCTCTGGTCTCTCTCTCTGGTCTCTCTCTCTGGTCTCTCTCTCTGGTCTCTCTCTCTGGTCTCTCTCTCTGGTCTCTCACTGGTCTCTCCCTGGTCTTTCTCTGGTCTTTCTCTGGTCTCTTCCTGGTCTCTCACTTGTCTCTCACTTGTCTCTCCCTGGTCTCTCTCTGGTCTTTCTCTGGTCCCTCCCTGGTCTTTCTCTCTGGTCTTTCTCTCTGGTCTTTCTCTCTGGTTTCTCTCTCTGGTCTCTCTCTGGTCTCTCTCTGGTCTCGCCCTGGTCTCTCTCTGGTCTCTCCCTGCTCTCCCTGGTCTCTCTCTGGTTTCTCTCACTTTGGCTGGTAACTATTTACTTTTACTCTCCCCTCAGAGTAGAGTTCGAAAATGTCCGAACAAGAAAGTCTTTTAATAGACCTGGACACGGAGCAGGACGTGGACGGCAAGTGGGAAACGTACAAGAAAAAGTTTAACAAAGTCTATGAACCGGTTTGTAACTCTTTATTAAAACATAAACAAAGTAATTGAAAGAATGAGGTCTGAGTGTGTGTCTGGGGCAGGAGGAGGACCGGATCCACAGAGGGATCTGGGAGGAGTCTCAGAGACAAGTGGCGATCCATAACCGGGACTATGAAGAGGGGAAATACACCTACACCACCGGGATCAACCAGTTCTCTGACATGGTGAGATGTAGCCTGGTCGTACCACACCATAGTACAAATTACATATGGTACTAAGGTCTAGCTCCGTGAACAGGTGGGAGGGGTTAACTCCTTTTGCAGATTTAAACGATTGGATCTGAGTTTACCGTGACGTATGTGATGAGCCCGAGTCTGTTGTTAGCATTTAGCCTAGCTTTAGCCATCTCCCTTGCCGCTAACGGACCCCGTGGAGAGTAGAGCCACAATTTTTTCCAGCGATTAGATTTGCTAAACATTCCTCTTGCTCCGGCTTCTCTGGTCTCTCTCTCTGGTCTCTCTCTGCTCTCTCTGGGGTCTCTCTGGGGTCTCTCTGGTCTCTCTCTGGGGGGTCTCTCTCTCTGGGGTCTCTCTGGTCTCTCTCTCTGGTCTCTCTCTGGTCTCTCTCTCTGGTCTCTCTCTCTGGTCTCTCTCTCTGGTCTCTCTCTCTGGTCTCTCTCTGGTCTCTCTGGTCTCTCTCTGGTCTCTCTCTCTGCTCTCTCTCTGGTCTCTCTGGTCTCTCTCTGGTCTCTCTCTGGTCTCTCTCTCTGCTCTCTCTCTGGTCTCTCTCTGGTCTCTCTCTGGTGTCTCTCTCTGGTGTCTCTCTCTGGTCTCTCTCTGGTCTCTCTCTCTGCTCTCTCTGGTCTCTCTGGTCTCTCTCTCTGCTCTCTCTGCTCTCTCTGGTCTCTCTGGTCTCTCTCTCTGCTCTCTCTGCTCTCTCTCTCTGGTCTCTAGTCTCTCTCTGGTCTCTCTCTAGTCCCTCTCTAGTCTCTCTCTGGTCTCTCGCTGGTCCCTCTCTCTGCTCTCTCTGGTCTCTCTCTGGTCCCTCTCTCTGCTCTCTCTGGTCTCTCACCGGCCTCACTCTGTGTCTGTTGCAGAAACCTGAAGACAGAGGTTGTCGGTGTCGGCATAACGCTAAAGTCATCGCACATCCACCAGAACCTGGAGTTTATGAGTAGAAACCGCTCAGACTCAGAGGTCCAGGAGGAGTTTGCAGAGTCATGGACCGGCCACAGACTCTACACTGCAGAACAGACTGGGGTAAAATAAGATTCCCCAACGCGACAAAGCAAAATGATCTTGTTCTTAAAAGATACAGACATTTCTCCCTTGGAACGAGAAAATAAATGATTTTAAATAAGACTTAAATGTAAGACTACATTTGATTCAAGCAATTGTGTGTGTGTGTGTGTGTGTCACAAATATGTGTTGTGCAGTTTTGAAATAAATTATCTATATCATCTAAAACAAATCTATATCTCTTTAAAGGAACCCGGAAAGGTACAGCAGACGAGCGACATATACAGTACAGACCAAAAGTTTGGACACACCTTTTTATTTTGATGATTATGAAAATTGTAGATTGACACTGAAGGCCTCAAACCTATGAATGAACTCGTGTGAATTACGTTCGTAATAAAAAAGTATGAACCAAGTGAAACCATGTGTTATATTCTGGTTCTTCAAAGTAGAACCTTTTGCTCTGATACTGCTTCACTCTTGGCATTCTCTGGATGAGCTTCAACAGGACCTGAAATGGTCTTCAACAGTCTTGAAAGAGTTCCCATGATGCTTAGCACTTGTTGGCCCCTTCACTCTGTGGTCTAGCCCCAAAACCATCTGGACTGGGTTCAGGTCCGGTGACTGTGGAGGTCATGTGGCCCAGCACCATCTCTCTCCTTATTGGTCAAACAGCCCTTACACAGCCTGGTGTGGATCTAGCCAATAGTCATGAAAAGAACTCAGTGAAGGAGAGAGGGTGTCCAAACTTTTGCTCTGTACTGTACACGCACACACACATACATAAACACACACACGCACACATACATACACACACACACATACATAAACGCACACATACATACACACACATATATTTGGGAAAGATGGTGTTCATGTGGCGCCATAGCGACACATGAGGCCGTTAGCTTCCAACACTGAGCCAGAGTTAAGCGAGGTGAACGTAATTCTTGGCTTGCAGTCATGTGACACATGACTGCGTCAACTTCCGGGTAATGAAGCGGTGGTCCGGCTAACAAAAAAATGTGTGCCTTTTTGGATATTTCATGACACTCTGAAGCTACAGTGGTTAAAGTTCTAACTCTTTCTAACAATATGCACAAGGCAGTACTTTCCCACTACATGTTTTGGTAATATAAAGGTTGAAGCTTCTGGCACCGCGGCAAATGCTAATAGGTAATAAGTAATTCATGATTTGATAAAAAATGTTAGTGGCTCCAGTTAAAATGGGATATTGTGATTTCACGAGACTGTCTTAGAAGTGATCATTTGAAAACGTTCAACTTGAAAAATGTGAACTTAGAGAAAATATAGAAATAAAGTGTTGCATATTGATATTTATCTGTTTCTATATATTTATTGTGATAAATCATTAAGATGTTCAGTGTTTCCACAAAGATAAATATCATTAATTATTAATAATAACATAGAGTTAAAGGTAAATTGAGCAAATTGGTTATTTCTGGCAATTTAAGTGTGTAACGAACTGGTCCTTCGCATTAATCAGTGCCCGAGAAGTAGCTCTTGGTTTCGAAAAGGTTGGTGACCCCTGACGTATGTAATGAGCCCGAGTGAGTGAGGCATTTAGCATTTAGCCTAGCTTTAGCATTTAACCTAGCTTTAGCCATCTCCTTTGCCACTATCGGAGCCTACTACTACGTTGCAGAAATGACATTTACTAAACATTCTTCTTGCTCCGGCTTCAGTTTCTTGATATTTGGATTGAACCAGAACAGATTATTTTACTATCGCATTCTCCGACAAACTACAACCAGCAAATTCAGCACAAACTCTTGACGTCGGCGGCACGGTGGCTGAGTGGATAGCACTCTCGCCTCTCAGCAAGAAGGTCCTGGGTTCGAATCCCGGTCGGACCAGGGCCTTTCTGAGTGGAGTTTGCATGTTCTCCCCGTGTCTGCGTAGGTTTCCTCCGGGTACTCCGGTTTCCCCTACCGCTAAAAATATGTACAATAGTTCTGGCATGCGCCTCCTGTACTGGCCCCGCTCCCATCTCTGTGTGGAGTGAGAGGACAAGTGTCCAAAAAAAAAAACACAAAAACATAACAATTGTAAACCGCTTTGAGACTCAGCTCTGCAGTGAAAAGGCGGTATATAAATAATTACTTACTTACTTACTACGTCACCGACACCGACCTACAACACCCGCCTCCCTCGCTCTCTGATTGGTCGGAGGGGATTCAACCGAGGAAACTGCAGCCACTAGGATCAGACCCAGACGTACACATAGGAAATGATCATGGACCAGAGTTTACACATGGTAAGACCTGACGTACATGTAGGAGATGATCATGGACCAGAGTTTACACATGGTAAGACCTGACGTACATGTAGGAGATGATCATGGACCAGAGTTGTTTTTTGGTTATTTTTGGTACAAACATTGGGCCTCATTCACGAATATCTTCGTAAGATAGATAAAAAGGGTGACTCTTTGGCTCCGTAACTCTTTGGCCTGTTGCCGTTTCCTCTGATGTCTTTACACGGCCCTGCAGTCCCTTATATGGGCATTATTGGGCGGTTACCTATGCTAAGTACCTATGCTAATGATTCACCGGGCACGCGCGCTGTACTTATGAGGAGTTGGCATTCATCAATCTGAGAGAACAGCTGCAAACAATTCAGCGGCGTTGATGAATCCCACGTAGGGTCTTCTTAGAAATCTACTGAAGAACGACTTGAGAAGAAATTTAAGAAGTTTCTTACGAAGATATTTGTGAATGAGGCCCAATCTTCGTAAACTCTTCGTAAGTAGGATTTACGCAGAGATTTGTTCTTAAGTACGGTTTGTGAATGAGGCCCATTGACTTTTATTGATGCTGAGGTGCACCGTCTCCACATCGTCTCTGTAAATCCTTCTCTGTCCATTTGAAATGTCTCTTGTCCGTTTTTCTCAACATATATTTTACACTTCTTACATATGGACACGTCTATAGCTTCAGTATTGCCATTCGGACATGCCTTAAAAGTCTCAAAATAAAGTCATTTTATTTACTTTACGGATGCATTTCTGGGTACACTTTACACATGGAGAGGATTCATAGATGCTTCTGCTTCACTGGATAAAACAGTATCAATAAAAATAGGAAGTTTCTTTTGCAAAATGCGTCATTTCTGGTATTAACTCTTCAGAAAGGCAGTCCCATCCATCTGTAATCTCAGTGTTTCAAATACGGTGGACATTTAGGATTCCAAGTCGGGAGAAAGTGTTTATTGAATCTGGCGTTTTGGAGGTAATGGAGTCGTAAAAAGGTCCAACAATAGTTTGAGAGTCAGGCTCAGGTCAGATCTGTTACAAACTAACTCTTTGTTCTCTTTCTGGTCTCTCTCAGGTCTCTCTCCTTGTTCTCTCTCTCTGGTGTCTCTCTGGTCTCTCTCTCTGGTCTCTCTCAGGTCTCTCTCCTTGTTTTCTCTCTCTGGTGTCTCTCTGTTCTCTCTCTCTGGTCTTTCTCTGGTCTCTCTCTCTGGTCTCTCTCTCTCTGGTCTCTCTGGGCTCTCTCTCTGGTCTCTCTGGTCTCTCTCTCTGGTCTCTCTCTCTCTGGTCTCTCTCTCTCTCTGGTCTCTCTCTCGGGTCTCTCTCTCTGGTCTCTCTCTGGTCTCTCTCTCTGGTCTCTCTCAGGTCTCTCTCAGGTCTCTCTCCTTGTTCTCTCTCTCTGGTCTCTCTCTGGTCTTTCTCTGGTCTCTCTCTCTGGTCTCTCTGGTCTCTCTCTGGTCTCTCTCTGGTCTTTCTCTCTGGTCTCCCTCTGGTCTCTCTCTCTCTCTGGTCTCTCTCTCTGGTCTCTCTCTCTGGTCTCTCTCTCTGGTCTCTCTGGTCTCTCTCTCTGGTCTCTCTCTCTGGTCTCTCTCTCTGGTTTCTCTCTCTGGTCTCTCTCTCTGGTCTCTCTCTCTGGTCTCTCTCTCTCTGGTCTCTCTCTCTGGTCTCCCTCTGGTCTCTCTCTCTGGTCTCTCTCTCTGGTCTCCCTCTGGTCTCTCTCTCTGGTCTCTCTCTCTGGTCTCTCTCTCTGGTCTCTCTCTCTGGTCTCCCTCTGGTCTCTCTCTCTGGTCTCCCTCTGGTCTCTCTCTCTCTCTGGTCTCTCTCTGGTCTCTCTCTCTGGGGTCTCTCTCTCTCTCTGGTCTCTCTCTGGTCTCTCTCTCTCTGGTCTCTCTCTCTGGTCTCTCTCTGGTCTCTCTCTGGTCTCTCTCTGGTCTCTCTCTCTGGTCTCTCTCTGGTCTCTCTGGTCTCTCTCTCTGGTTTCTCTCTCTGGTCTCTCTCTCTGGTCTCTCTCTGGTCTCTCTCTCTGGTCTCCCTCTGGTCTCTCTCTCTGGTCTCTCTCTCTGGTCTCTCTCTCTGGTCTCCCTCTGGTCTCTCTCTCTGGTCTCTCTCTCTGGTCTCTCTCTCTGGTCTCTTTCTCTGGTCTCTCTCTCTGGTCTCTCTCTCTGGTCTCTCTCTGGTCTCTCTGGTCTCTCTCTCTGGTCTCTCTCTGGTCTCTCTCTGGTCTCTCTCTCTCTGGTCTCTCTCTCTCTGGTCTCTCTCTGGTCTCTCTCTGGTCTCTCTCTCTGGTCTCTCTCTCTGGTCTCTCTCTCTGGTCTCTCTCTGGTCTCTCTCTCTCGGTCTCTCTCTCTGGTCTCTCTGGTCTCTCTCTATGGTCTCTCTCTGGTCTCTCTCTGGTCTCTCTCTCTGGTCTCTCTGGTCTCTCTCTGGTCTCTCTCTCTCTGGTCTAACTCTTTGTCTGTTGCAGAAACCAGAAGATGGAGGTTGTCCGTGTCTGCGTCATGCACGAGTCATCGCACATCCACCAGAACCTGGAGTTGAGGCCCAGAATGGAGGAAACCGCTCAGACTCAGAGGTCCAGGAGGAGTTTTCATGAGTCATGGACCGGCCACTGCAGAACATGAGGCAAAATATGAAAAAATGGCCCAAATTTGTCTAAATCTGAGCACA